AGGTGGCCAAAGTTCAGCCAGCCTAGAGGGTGTTCAACTGACAAAACTTGCCAGCAAGGTAAATAGAAGGGTTAATATTAAATTCCCTTTTACTCTTTGACCTCTCAAAATAGGAATCCTGGGGAATGCTGCATGGCTCTAACTTCCCACGAGATTGAGCCAGCAAAACTAAGTAAGATGTGATCTCTACCTTCAAGGAAGGTACAGTCTAGTAAGGGAGAAAAGTTAAGGGTCTATAATGAGGAAGAATGTTTACAAATGCGCTATGTACCCTAAGACAGACACAGTATCGTGATATGGTTAAGAGGGGACTCTGGACTCAGGCTGCCTGGGTTTGAACCATGGTTTGATCATCTACGAGCTACACGAAGTTGTACAAGTTAAATGAATTAATCTTCCTCTACCTCTCTTTCCCCCATCTGTAAAATGGGACAGTAGTAACCCCCCCCCCCCGCCAAGAGGAATCGGGGAGCAGTACAAATTGGTGTAATTTTGAGGTCTTCTTTTTGGGGTTGCATTTTTATGCAGTAGTATTTGAGTGTGTACTTAAGAGTGTTCTCAAGTCATGGGGCTTGGTGTCCCATTCATGGTGAATTAGCCTATGCAGAATTTGGAAGACCTAGCGTCTGCCTCCAGCCCTTCATAAACTCTCACAATCATTTCACTTCCTGGTGCCTTAGGTTTCTTCTCTAGTTAAATGAGCATAAGTTTCATGACAGCAGGGACCTTATCTTGTTCAACATCTAGAACAGTGCCTGGCTCATGGTAGGTGCTGGCTAAATGTTGGTGCAGCTCAACTTGGGGAAATGAAGATGTTGATACAACAGACGTGAATGTAATTTTGAGAAGGAATCATAAGTACTGCGCAAAAATGACTGGCTTTCTGTGTGTAAGGTTCCCAGAGAGATAAGAGATAAGAAATGATCTCTGTGACATTTCTCTTCCAGGATCTAAGCATGAGATTTCGAAGCAGGAGATCTTGCCTCAAGTCATGGCTCCACCACTTAAGGCTTTGTAATTCTAGATAAATTACTTAACCTCTTTGGGCTTCATTTCTTCATTGGCATTTTTGGGCGATCACCCAGGCTTTTGAGTGTTCTTTAGAGCTCCAAAGATCAAGGAAATAAAAGCACTCATGAACTAGCGAATACTATGCAAGTACAAATGTACTAAGAAATGGTAGCTCTTCATGCTCTACATTAGAGGACGATAAATCATAAAAAGCAAAATTGTATTCCTGTTACTCGAACTTAAGGTAGTGAAGATAAAGCCGTATTGTCTCCCAAAGTTGATCTTCTTTAAAATGCAGGGGAAAATGGCGCACTCCCTGTCTCGTATACACAGCCAGACGAGCAGAGCAACTTGAGAGGACTGGTCTCCCTCGGCACACCAGCTCCCTTTAGCCGCCGCACCTCACTTCTTCTGAGCCAGCTCCAAAAGCTGTTCCAAGTCTGCAGGAAGACATGTGCTGGCTAGGACTGTTTTTGAGAATTAGCCAGGGTCCCATCAGAGGTTGCAGGACAATTTCAAAAAAGAAAATTCTTTCTCCCATTGCCCCATCTTACATAAAATGCATGGCCAGAGTCCAGCACCTGTTTGCATGTTTCTTTTCCAAAAGTTCAAAATTCAAATGTATTATTTATTGTCTGTTTCTATACTTGATGGACCTCTGTAGAAAAGTCTTTCTCCAGACCCTCAGACCCTCACTGTTTATGTTCTGAGCAAATCATTCATAAATAAATATATATATATATATATATATATATATATATATATATATATATATTCCTTTTTGGTTATTTTTCATTCACATGAATCTTCTATTTGTGTTTTTGCAGTTGAGATGAAACTCAATATCTGATACTCAGAGCTTACTTTTATTTAGCAAATCCGTTATTTCAGTACGTGTCTGTGGCAGAATGCCAATAAATTAAACTTTTATCGATTCCCTCGGCTGAGTCGCTAAAAATTGTTGCTGGTTGACGCTGGGTTAAATTGCAAGCTGCCCAGTATTCACATGTGTTCAGACAGCCTATGTAATTTAGTTGTAGGACTAAATATGAATATATTTTTAAATATAAACTTACAAACCTGCAGAATGTTCTCTTTTAGAGTATTTTCCATACTACACTAAGTCAACTACAGTATGGAAACTAATTTGCTCTTGAAATTCCACTTAGGAACACTATGTAGAATTTGTGTCTAGGGAGAATCTTAAAAAGAAAGCTTGGGGTAGCCAGTTGTATCACTTGTGAGGCTTTTTTTGGGGGGGGTGTAATGTTTCTTTAGACTTCTTTTTAATATATGTAATCCACATACTATCCAATTCACCCATTGAAGTGTACGATTTTGTGAATGTGTTTGAGTATATTAAAAAAATGGTGCAACTATCACTATCTACTCCAGAATATTTTCATCACTCCCCAAGGAGACCCTGGACCCATGAAACAATTACTTCCCTTTCTCCTCTCCCCAGAGTCCTTACAACCACTCATTTGCTTTCTGACTCTGTGGATTTGCCTATTGTGGATATTTCATATAAATGGAACCATATACTATGTGGCCTTGGTGACTGGCTTCTTCCACTTAGCATAATGTTTTCAAGGTTCATCCACATTGTAGCATGTAGCCGTACTTTGTTCCTTTTACTGATGGAATCATATTCCATTTTGTAGGTATATCACCTTTTGTGTACCCATTCATCTGTTAGTGGACACTTGGGTCATTTCTACCTCTTGGCTATCATGACTAGTGAACATGAGTGTATACATAGCTCTTCGAACCCCTCCTTTCAGTTGCTTGGGGTATATACCTAGGCACAGTGCAAGGTCATGTGGTGACTGCCACAGCAGCTGCGCTATTTTACATTCCCACCAGCAACGATGGTTCCGATTTCTCCAATTTTTCTGGTTTTTACTATAGCCATCCTAATGCTGGTGAAGCAGTATCGCATTGTGGTTTTCATTTACATTTCCCCATCTGGCTATTTTTTTTAAAAAAATATGGTAAATATTTTCCTAGAGGTCATTTGCCTGACAACCTTAACCCTCTAGAACATGATCCTGCATGGAACATATTGCAAAAGGGCCCCCAAACCAGAAAGCCTTGCACTTTGCCCCCAGGCCCATCATTCAGTGAGTAACTAACTCTTATTCAACATTCATGATTGGCTGTTACGTTTTCCAGAAGGGAGCTGGACAATCCACTATGGCAGATACTGTGGCAGAAAGACAAGTGACAGTAGAAGTGACCACTAACAATGTGCCACCAAAGGAGGGAAACTATAATACTTTCTAGGACATTTATGACCCCAAGTCTTTCATTAGAGGTCAAAAGATGTTCAGTATTTTGTAAGAAGGCAAAGCTACCTATAATACATTTTAAAAAGGGTTCCATGAAGGATGATTCAGAGAAACACTTGTTTGCCCTTGGATGGATAAGCTTGCCTGAATTTTCTAGATATTTAATTTCTCGGTGATACCTAAACAATTAGGTGATACTGAGTTTCATCTCGACTGCGAAAAGACAAATAGAAGATTCAGATTCTGTAGGGTTGTTAAAGATCTCGTTCAAAAATTTAAATGAAATGTCTTCAAGAACTTGAATTCTACTTTTTTGATGAAGTTGACCATGGGTTGATTTGACTGATACTCAGAGCTTACTTTTATTTTAGCAAATCCCTGTTATTTCAGTATGTGTCCGTGGCATAATGCCAATAAATTAAACTTTTATCGATTCTCCCGGCTGAATTGCTAAAAATTGTTGCTGGTTGACGCTGGGTTAAACTGCAAGCCTTAAAGCTGCCCAGTATTTAACGTATGACTGAACCGTGCTTTCTGTCTCACTTATTTGTATATGCTGAAACCTCCTCCTGAGTTGTTTCAGTATCCCTTTACAGAGACTAAGAACTAATAGGGCATACACAGAAAGAAAAAAAAAAACCCAGGGGCACCTGAGTGGCTCAGTGGGTTGTCTGCCTTCGGCTCAGGTCATGATCTCGGGGTCCTGGATCGAGCCCCGTGTCAGGCTCCCTGCTCGGCGGGGAGTCTGCTTCTACCCCTCCTTCCTGCTTGTGCTCTCTCACTATCTCTGTCTCGCTCAAATAAATAAAATACTAAAAAAAAAAAGAAAGAAAGAAAGAAAGAAAAAGAACCCAGCATCTTTTCAGAGGATTTTTTTTTTCTTTATCTGAAGCCCATTTTACATTTTACATTCTCTCCCCTACCTCATCTGCAGTGGGTGTCTGGCGAGTTACGTCATGACCATTTGATGTGATCATCAACAATTACATTTCAAATACACATGCAGCAGGACCTCTAAGACCAACTTAAATTTTCTTAGCAATTCGTCTTCTGGATTTTGAGAGCAGATAAGCAAGCCTTCGATCAGATCATAGCAAAGCCAGGTTAATGACAGGTGTTTGATAGCCTCTAGAACCTGAGGGGCTGTCCTGTCCAGCTCTGGCATTTTCTGTGCAATGAACCCCCAAATGAATTTCTGCCCCCAAACAGAATGAAACCATCGTTTCTCCTTTTTAATTGGGCTTGTATTTCTTTTTCTTTTAAGATTTATTTATTTATTTGAGAGAGAGAGAGCTTGCGAGCGAACCAGCAAGGGGAGGGGTAGAGGGAGAGAGAGAGAATCCTTGAGCAGACTTCCCGCTGAGCGCAGAGACCCACGCGGGGCTGGACGCGGGGCTCGATCCCAGGACCCTGAGACCATGAACTGAGCTGAAACCAAGAGTCCACTGCTGAACCCACTGAGCCTCCCAGGCACCCCAGCTGGGCTTGTATTTCAGCAGTAAATCTATATGGCTGCCTCCTTTTACTCTACACTGGGAAATGCTCTTTTTATTCACAACGGCCGACTGTACTATGTTGCACTGTCAATATCTAGCTGCTTCCTGTTTTAAATAGGATATGGTACTTCTTTTCCAAATCTGAAGTTTAAAACCGAAGTATTGCATTCTAATAGCTAATTTTATTTTTTTTTTCTTGCAGGTTTCTGAAAAGTGCCTTTTCTGAACACTGCTGCTTCGATTCTACTCTAGAGCTGTCTCTTTATAAACCCCTCTCCCTCCCCAGCCCCCAAACCTGGTGTGCTTGCAGTTCAGTCTCAGCAACTGGTCCATTCTTTTTTCCCCTTCAATTCCCAGTTTTCTTAGTCTTTTTCCTTCCTCCTGATTTTGCAGCAAAATTTATTTTTACAGTTGTAACATCCTTACCAATCTTAGTCATTAAATCCAAGAAATAGGGAGAAAAACATTTCTCCCCTTGATCTGAGACCATTCCACAAATTGAAGGGCAACCAGCAGCACATGCTTTTTGCAAGAATAATTGAAAACATCAACTGGAGAGCACAGAATTCTTTTGAAAGCCTGCCAGTTATTTGAAGTAACTTCAGCAGAGGAACAAATTAAACACTCAATATCTTAACCTATCTGGTTGCCTTCTTAGGAGTTGGTCTCTAATTTAATTTTTAGCTATTCTGATACAATTTTTACTTTGTGATTGGCTCTGTTTGACCAGACCAAATTTTGGCTGAAACGAAAACCTAAGTGCTAACAAAGAAGCATTTCACGAAAGCAACTTTATCTCTTCACATATAGCTTGAATTCACTTTTAACCATTTAACAGCAGCAAAACTATCCTAGAGAGGGTGTACTTGATTCTAACTTTGCTTTCAATATGGCGGCTGTCAATGTCACCCTGGTTCGTGACACCAAGTGGCTGACTTTAGAAGTCTGCAGAGAATTTCAGAGAGGGACCTGCTCTCGAGCTGATGCAGATTGCAAGTTTGCCCATCCGCCAAGAGTCTGCCACGTGGAAAATGGCCGTGTGGTGGCGTGTTTTGATTCTTTAAAGGTGAGTCTCATCTACATGCACATAACATTTCATTTAAATTTGTTGATGTCTATGTGTTTTGAAATATGATGTGCTTTGAAATTAGTAAAGTTAATAGCGTGGAAGTGGAAGTTTTGTTTGTTTGTTTGTTTAAGACAGGATGTAGACTCTGTGCTTGTAGAACTAAGCCAGACTATAGTTCATCTTATTTCATCAAAGCCCACTGATCAAGATAGATTTGAAGGAAAAAAATTAAAGAATTTTTGTAGGAGTGAGAAATTGCAGCCTTGCCATACTTTACTTCTTTGTATAGGATTTAAATGTTGAGTATAGGGATCATAATTCTCATAGAGCCTAAAGAAGCCCTTTACTGAATTATAGCCCTATTAACTATGTTATTAAAATACACTTGGCAGGGACCAGGCAGCTTTCAGAGGACAAGTGAAGTCATACTCAAAGAGTATAAGGTGAAAATCTCACCATCCAGGAGGAAAATGTCTTTTAAAGTTTATTTTAGTAATCTCTACACCCAATGCAGGGCTCGAACTCACAACCCCGAGATCAAGAGTTGCACAGTCTACCGACTAAGCCAGTCAAGAGCCCCCAGCATGCTTAGTCCAAGTATATTTTGAAACTTTAACTTAAACATTGGTACCAAACTAGGTTCACTTAATTTTCTTCCTGAACTGATTAACCAATTTTAGATTTGTGAGTACATTTTATAAGGCAAGTCTTATTGCCAAGGTCATCAAACCTGAATATTATGTACTAGACTATAACCAACATATGAGGGCAAATGAGATATTATGTAGAATAGAACATATGTGATTGCAGAACAAGAAAATGCACTGACTTTCATGTGTTATTCATAGTTATCTTTAAATTAAGGATAAAGATTTATAAATTAAAGCGCAGAAGTAAAAAAAAATAGTAATAGATTCCTGGTTTAATAAGATTTGCTACGATGCATTCGAGAATTTTTTTTCAACATACATCAAAGTGAATTAAGCCTAATAAGAACCTTTTCAATTTCTTGATATTGTTTTAGCCTCATCATGACCAATTTTACCTCATTAACATTTTTATTTATGGCTGCATTGGCTGACAGAGATGTATTCCTTTTTGTGATCATTTCTTCAGAAAACATTTCATCAAGTTACATCCTCCATAGATAGTTAATTTAACTTATTTCATGGTTAGTACTTTTTGTTGCAGACCCTCCCAAGTCAAGAATGCAAAGTTATTATTGTAAAAAACCAGTAATTTTTGCCATTGAAAATGTCTGAATTGCTCTTATTTGCAGCAGATAATATGATTAAAGGGCTTATTCTCTACATTTCACTATCATTCGAGTTTCATCTACAATTATTTTGTATATTATTAAAATCTCCGCTGCATTACCTGGCAATGCCTTGAAGCAGAAAAGAGCACTGGGTTATTTGGGGTGGAAACAGGAGATATCTTTCATCCAGTCCGTCAAGTGGGTCTGGGATAGCACGAGGCACTGTGCATATGTTGTTTCAGGAGATCTGGGGGACAGTCCCAGCCTTGCTACTGTGTCTGACCTTAGCTACTTACTCTGGTAAGGCTTACATTCCTTTATCTCTACCTAACTTCCAGGATTATTATGGAGATGCCATGAGATTACATAAACGAAAACTCACGTATCACTCTAAGAGTGAATTAAATGGAAGATTATTTTCTTGCAATTCACTAAGATGTTTGTTTGAGGAGTTCTTCAAAACAGCTCTATTTAGTTAGGGTTTATTGTTTCATTCTACAAACTCATGTTCCAAATGGACATACCCAAATCCAGTTGCCATGAGTGTCATATTAGTTCTTCAAGCTAAGTATCACTGTTTTTATAGTTTACTCTTTGATTGAGAGTTCCTTGCAGGCTTTGTAAATTCTCTCTTTCCAGACATCTGGTGGAAGGAGATAGGTGATCCTCCTAATCATTGGTATACTTCAGGTCAGAGTGCCATAAAGGAAATATTTGGAAGAAAATAATAAGCAAAGCAATTTTTAATAAAACACATACTGTACTACTACTTTGAAGGTTGGAAAATGTTTAATTCAGAGACTACATAGATGGTGGCCAATGAATATTGATAAGCCACTTAATTATTTAAATACACTGTCTACTCGCTGCATCCAGTGTTTTTAAAATGATTTTTGCATTATGTTAATATCTTGATGACCAATCACACAGGATAAAGACAATTTATATAAACCTCACATTTTCAAATTTTAATGAAAACTTTAATATTTCAAATACACAAAGCCTTTCAAACAATTAATTAATTTGCCATTTAGACAGCACATTCATCACAGTTCCATGTCTGCACAAGAGCTTGGTGGCTGTCTGCTTTTATATTATTCCTTATCCATGATATGCATGAACCCTATTACTAAGTTGGGGGTAATTGACCTATGTGGATTGTACAACGATCCTATCTATAATACACAAATAACATACCTCAGTGTTCATTGTGGCATTTACTATTGTATAATTGAAACACCTTTGAAATGCATCTGTGCACTATTTCTATTTCTGTGAGTGGTTAATAATTGAAGCAGTCATTTGATGAGTTTTGGGCTGCTGCTTTTGGTGCTCTGTGTCTTGTTTTTGTAAGGATTTCATTAACACTAGGTACTCTACCAGATGATGATGGTTCTTTGCCTTCCTAATAGGCACAATAGACACAATATTCTATACTCACCTCATAATGAGGGAATGTTGTCAAAATAAGGAGGGCCAGCTTGATGGCTAATTGTGCATTGTGCTGAAGTGCTGTGCCCATCACTCCATGAATGTTGAGTGTTCATTGATGAAGGTTGCCCTATCTTCAGATAGAGATCTAGACAGTGCAGCCCATAGATTAATTTCCAACTACATAAAAGAGTGAGTCTCATGTCATATTGATATGTAGCTGTTTTTGACTCAATTGCCTAGCCTGCTTGGCACAATTATTTCAAAATTTCTCTCCAAAATATTGCTTAACCCGTTCTGTGCCAGTTTCTTGCTATGACAGTTTACCACTGACCTTGCTTGATACTTTCAGGGTATGTTTCTTACATTTAACAAAAGATCGTCACTAAAAATACCACGCTAGGACCCCAAGGGTCACTGGATTATGCAAGACTTAGGGCCATTTCTAAGCTTGATCAGAGAGGTCTGCCTGCACTATAAAGATACATAGACAACACCTGTCATCCTGAGATTCCAGGAAAATAATATTTTACTTGAGGATCTCTATCTTCAGTAATACTGAGCTTGAAAAGGAAGTATCTTTGACTGGTAAAAGTCAGTGCTATTTTGGACATTAAAAAAACTTTTTTTGAAAGAAAAATGGAATTACAATTAGAACCTAAACAAATACATATTGATAGCTCCAACCTAACTTTTTAAATTTTTTATTTTGAAATAATTTCAGGCTTACAGAAAAGTTGCAAAAGTAGTACAAGGATTAGGGGCACCTGCGTGGCTCAGTCGGTTAGGCGGCCAACTCTTGATTTCATCTCAGATCATGATCTCAGAGTCCCACATTGGGCTCCATGCTCAGTGGGGAGTCTGCTTGAGATTCTCTCTCTCTCTCTACCTCTGTCCCTCCCCCCCGCTCACTCTCTCTCTCCCTAAAATAAATAAATAAATCTAAAAATAAAATCTTTAAGCATAGTACAAGGAGTTCCTGCATACCCTTCACCTAGCTTCCAGTAATGTCAACAACTTAGATACCTTACAGAGCCCAGTTATAAAAACCAGGAAATTAACTCTAGTACAATATTATTAACTAAACTAGAGACCTTATTTGAATTTCACCAATTTTCCCACAGTGTCCTTTCTCTGTTCCAAGATCCAATCCAGGATCCCACATTGCACTTACTCGTCCTATCTCCTTAGTCCCCTCTAATCTGTGACAGTTCCTCAGTCTTTCAGTATCTTTCCTGACCTTGACACTTTGGATGAGTACCGGTCAGTTTTTTTGTAGAATGCCTCTCAGTTTGGGTTTGTGAATACTTTCTTATGATTTGATTAGGGTCGTGCATTTTTGGCAAGAAAACCGCAGGAAAGATGTGCATTATATCCGAGAGTGCATGATGTTGATGTATCTGATCACTCGTTATATTATGGTCAATCAAGAAGGGGAGGGAGGAGAAAATAGACCGAGGGCATGACAGAAAAAGACGCAGTGATGGGCCCCCAGAATGACAGAACCCTGGAGGATGAGAAGCCCAAGAAGTTTTGGGATGTGTGTGTCCCTGTCGTGGGCTACTGTGGGCTGACCCTTGTGCTGAATGAAGTAAGTGCCCCTGGCCACTTCTAACTTAGGATCTTCCTACATCAGGAACAAGGTGTTCTGCCTTTGTTTCCAAGATAAATAATATTTCCCCCGATTGTGAAAGTTATCCAGTTCTATGAAGGGAAAGGAAAAGACAAAAAGAAATCTTAAAAATCATACACAAGAAGATAAGAATAAAATGTAACAAAAGGTAGGTAAAGTGTAAATATCATCCCCACTGAGGCAATATCATCATTAACGTTTCTATGTGTTTCCGTCCAGTCTTTCTATCCTTTATATGACTATACATATGTCTCATAAACCTTGCCTTACCTCCTGCATCCTCACAGACTTCACTCCCTCACTCCCTCCCCCAGCAATCCTGGACAGCCAACCTCTCCCTCCATTTATCCTTCCTGTCAGTCTCATGTTCTTCCCAGGGTACCAAAAAAAAAAAAAAAAAGAGAGAGAAAAAAAGAAAAGAAAATCTAAATACTGCCTGATCTCTCATTCAGAGACTTTTAAAAAATATACCACTTATTGTGGCACTTTTTCTGGTCAGAAATTAAAAACATCATTTCTAGAAAACTGTAATATAGTCACAAAGATTTCAAAAGAAACAAATCTGTAAGTCTGTTACCTGATGAATCTCTTCAGTACGTATTTCAAAAATTTCTTTTAATGACAACTGTTTCCTCAAAAAGAGAAAAAAAAGGTTTCAGTCATTCCATGTAATTC